ACCCAGACCCAGGTAGTGTTACCCTTTTCCCTGGGGTGGAGAGAAGCAGACTGCCCCGGCTCGGCAGCAGCAGGGAGAACCCACATTCCAGACCTCAATCATCTAGCCCCTGCTGGTGGAGCAGGAAGAGGGAGGCAGCGGGAGATGGGGAGGGAAGGAAGGGAGGGGCAAGTGACCCCTCCCTGGGGTCAGCTCCCCTGCTGACCCCAGTAGGCACCCCCATACTCTGCAACCCACCAGGGAAAGGGGCCCAGGCCCATCCGGACCAGGGCCCAGTTCAGCAGCGCCACCCAGCCTCACAGAGCCCAGGACAGCCCACCCGATCCCACCACAGAGAAAACTGCATCCACCCCATCATCCACTACACAAGACAATAGACGCCCAGGCTAAGATCTTCCTCCACCTCTCCTATATCTCGCGCTCCTGCAGAGTGAGTTCCTGAAGAGAGGAGACCTCCTGCAAGATGTAACAGCCTCCCCCACCAGTTGAAGAGCCCCCCAGATGGCTCGATGCACAGGCGGCACCCTGCGCCAGGGCTGGGCCCCCATACACCCACCCGCCCGCAACCCCGGCGACACACCAACCAGGACCCATGCCCCCAAGGCCCAGCCAGGGCCCCAGCCCAGAGACGGAGCACCCCCAGAACCCCACACCCATCCCGGACCCACCCAGGGGCAGCCAGGCTACCAGGTCAGTAACCCACGTCTGTCAGCACAGACCCTCCCCTAGCCCCGCTGCATGCAGCCACGAGGAAACCGTCACCTAAGAGCCAACAGAGCCCTTAATAGGCCATGACCACAACCCCGGGTTGAGCCCTCCAAGGAAGATGCTCCTGGGGAATCCCCCGACGCCCCAAGCTTGTCCCTACCCCTACACCAATCACAACAGCGAAGGTGGGACCAAACTATGACCCCCCACCCCCACTAGGTGATGGAGCTGAAAAAAAAAGCTGAAAATTTAAGTTTGAGGTTTGAGGTTTTCTAGAGGAGAAACCTGAAACTGAGATAACCATGTATCATGAGGCCAAACAGACTTTTTGGTCTTTCGACTTTGAGGCTTCATAAATGTAGAAAATGAGAAAGAGGAGGACAGATGGAGGGCAGTTAATGAGTTTCAAAGTGCAGAGGATTAGTAAGGAGGAAGTGAGGGTAGAAGAAGAGTGGAGAAGTGAAGAAGTGTCCTGGTGCCAAATTTAAAGAACAAGGGTTATGTTTATGTGCAGAGCTGTGATAACTACCGAGGGTTAAATCTGTTAATGCTGTTGAAGTCAGGAGTGACAGAAGTATGTGATGTTGATACACTGAGGACAGTAAGACAGTGGTGAAGTGTGCAGTAGGAGTGACAGATGGGTACAAAGTTGGGATGAGATTACATCAAGCATTAGTGCTGAGCCC